TGTGGATTGATGTGTTGAAAGTTGACATTACTACTATTCTGGTTAGATAGATTCCCTGCGACATCTCCCAATATAATAGGTATATCGGGTGTGTTACCTTGAACCCTAGTGTTATTTGGAAAGTCCATTGGTCCTGGTCCATGAATACTGTTGGACAAAGCTGGTGGGTGGTAAAATCCTTGCCCAATACTTGGTGGTGGTCGTTGAAAATCATTTTGCACAAAGCTGTTTCCCTGCCAGCGAGGACCTTCAAACATATTTCTTGGTCTTTCAAATTGAAACCTTGGTATAAAATTAGTTTCAAAGTTATTATTTGGTTGTTGGTTTCTTTCCATTGAAACCTGATAAGCCGTACCGTCCCTGGCGTCAGGGCGAAAAATTGGAAAATTAATTCGAATGGGCGCAGCCATTTTTCCTTGGAGAACATCGATCCCGATCTAATACACTCGAACCCAACAGAATAATACGATGGCCGATACGAACCGCCAAATTACAAGTTTATATATATACTTAACATTCCTCAGATAAATTGGGGAGTTTATATTAAACTTAGAAAGGGATTAAATCAAAAACACGCGTGTGTGTGTTTTCTTCTCATCCCCCCCCCTTTTTGGGGGTGAGGGTGGGGGGTAAATAAATGCTTTTTCTGATAATTTTTTATTGATATTAAAAAGCAACAAGACTGTTTTTACTTTCACATACATGTTAAATAAATGCTGTATGCCTAATTTTACTTTCACATACATCGTCTGAGATCTCAACATTCAATTTTGTAACTATCATTATTCAGATTCCTCTTGTTTTTGTTTGATTTCAACTTCTTTTTCGACAACGCAATATTAGAATTCATTCGTAAGCCCCAAAATACTGGTTAAGAATTCCAGAGACAATGAAGCTAGCTGCATCTTTATTATTTCCCTTCCCGTCACGCCAGATGAAAGACTCTCGATGATCTGCATAAGTAAGAAGTTTGTTCATTTTTCATTCTACTCTTTTCCTTGTTTCAACATTATTTTTTTTCACCTTTATTTTTTTCATTGGAACAAGGAAAAGAATAGAATGAGGAAATGAAGAGACTTCTTAATTAAATATGCAGCTTCGTTGTCTCTCGAATCTTTTTTAACCAGTATTTGGGGCTTACGAATGAATTTTACTATTGTTGAAATGGAAGTTAAAATCAAATAAAAACACGAGGATTCTGAATAAAGATACTAGTAATTACAAAATATTCTTTGATGGAAAAATCCGAAAATCCGAAATCGTGGTCCTCTAAAGACATCAGAGGTGGAATCAGGTGCCATGGAGGAGTAAGCAACTTGACAGGTCACACCCGCCGTATTTTTCTTGTCATGACCCGGCAAACGAAAAAGATCCGTAGACAATTCAGTGAAAATTATGGCCTAACAATTTGCATGAATAACATCAGTCAACATTCAGTTTAATGAATTATTATTGTTTTTGCTAACAAGGTCATTATATCGACATAGAATTTGCAGAATATTAACTTTACTCCTTTTATCATCAACTTATTTGTCAATAGCTTGCCTCGTTTTAGAAATTGTTCGTACGTAGAACTTGCTCTTGTGTATCGAATCAACTGGGACATAAACTCCATTTTCAGGTGATAATGGTGTATTGCTATTTAAATAAAAGAAGTTAATGAAAGAAAAGTTGAAATATATAATCAAGTCTTTTATTAAGTTTTGTCTTGATGTTGCCATTAATGCCCTTTTCTGGTAAAATATCCAATATATGCAACAGATGTGTCAGATTTTGTGGTGTCTTTTATTTCGAATTCAAAGGGATATATAGAATCAATGTAGGAATGAAAATGAATATTGTTAATCGATAAAACGTCGTCGATATATCTAAATGTCGAATTGAAGTCCACAGCAAAAGACCTCTTCCTTTTACATGTTTTATGTAGAAGTTTTTGAAAATAAATTTTGCTTCATATGAATAAAAACAGATACACATGTATAAAGTATCTTTATTTTTGAAAAAAAAACAACAGAATAAAGTCAAAGATTCATAAGTTTTGAAACGTTATGCTGTTGCACTTGATTTTTTACATTTTAAATAATGGTTAATTAAAATTATTTTGAATGGAACATTCCAAAATAAAAGTACTTTATTATAGAGAAATCATTCTGGTTAAGTTTATTTTTTACAGAAAAGAAAAAGGATAAAAATTGTGGAAATTATGAATAAATGTGTGCAGATATACCTTTGTTATATAATTTAAGATTTATCGATGTTTGAATAAATGCATAATTTCTATCAAAAAAGAGCAAATATAATTTGTTTAAAACTTTTTATTTAACTTAAGAAAAAAAAGTACTATGAGAAAAATATAGTGGTTATATTGTAAAATGTGTGCGCATTTTGTATTTTATTTTCTATACTGGTTTAATATTTTGTATAGTCCGTAGCCCCATATTTCATTAGTTTGTGTTCAACAAAAGAATGTAGAATTAATCATGCTCTTGTTTAATATTTTCACAGTTACCAGTGAAGTAAAAAACAGTAATGTATAGCTTTTGCGCTAACACAAAAAGAAGTTATGGAAGAATGATTTGTGTCCGTAGCCCTGTATAGTCCATAGCCCCAATATAACAACTTCCAGAAAAAGTCATATACATTATTGATACAATAACTACAATACAAAAATATGTTTATTCGAACAAATGCAATGTTTTTAAATACAAATACCACCATAATTAAAAATAAAATATCTGAAAATTAACATTTTTCAACTAAAGGCTTGCTTCTGTAGTCTGTCCTGTTATGTTTGTGGTCACAACATATTTCTAATTATACATGATAAAGTTTTCCTTCTTGTGATACATACTATCAATCCTTTAACAATGATTAGCATTTGAATATTTTTAAAAGAATATTTAGCCACACAAATCCTACTTAGTAAACAAAAGGGCTACGGACTCTACAAATAAATTTAGCAAATTTATAGACCATATAACCGTAGTTCTGTATTAGCAAGAGATTTTATTAGTCCCCTACCGGTGAAACCGGAAGGGACTATAGGTTTCCTCTGAGTCTGTCCGTCCGTCTGTCTGTCTGTCTGTCTAGCTGTCCCTCTGTCTGTCTGTCAGTCTGTCCCACTTGGTTTTCCGCACTTTTTCCCTAAACGCTTGCAGACATTGAGCTGATTTTTGGTATGTGAGTGTATCTTGATGAGTTACAGATCAAGTTTGCATTTCGTTCCGCTTCATTGATTTTTGACGGAATTACGGCCTTTTCAATTTTTGGGGGTTTTCTGCAATTTTCTTCTAAACGCTTGTAGATATTGAGCTGATTTTTGGTATGTGGCTTTACCTTGATTAGTTATAGATCAAGTTTGCATTTCGTCCCGCTTCATTAATTTTTGACGGAATTATGGCATTTTCAATTCTTAACGGGAACCAGATTACACTTGCCGGTAGGGGATTAGTATTGCTAATGCAATACTCTCAGAATGCTTGTTCCTACTTGTGTCTACTGCAAAATTGGGATTCAATGGTTTATTAGTTCTCATCGACCAGTCTTAACATCCCATTGTGGGATTTGATCCAAAACATAAGGATCAACTCCTTACTTTGCAATTTAGTACAAAGTGAGACCTTTTCACTCTTACAATTGCGCCACCCAATCTACTTGTCACTGAATTGTTAATTTAAAAAAAAGCATTGATTCTTTATGGGTAAATATTGTACTATTATGTTTTTTTTTACTGCAAATGGTCAATCATGTTTTGCAATTTATATATATATATATATATATATATATATATATATATATATATATATATATATATATATATATATATATATATATATATATATATATATATATATATATATATATATATATATATATTTGAATTACACCATATGATTATGATAAATTATATACTGATACAACTTTTGAATGACCATCTTGAGATATACGCATTACATTAAATCGAGAAAAAAAATATGAAGCAATATATTCCGTAACCCCCCCCCCCCCCCCACACACACACACACACACACACACATACACAAATCATGCCTTGATTTAATTTCAGCTTCTATTGCTTTTATTCATTATAGTTTGAACACCAATTATGCTTTAATTAGTTGAACTGGAATTTCATTTGGCATTGAAAGTACATAGTACATTAGACAATTGATTTTTAAGTATGGTATTATAAATACTCAAACTAAGTGGTGTGAACTAATATAGAAAACCAATTAATAAAAAAAATGCCCAAAATTTAATTAAACAATTATATTTTCTTTAAGTTGATTGTCCACAATAGAGATGTTTGACGGTATAGTCCGTAGCCCCCATGCTAACATGAAATTCATCCTTTTTGGATGCTAAGTAAAGCTCATTCTTGGTCTTTAGATGGTTTTAAACAATATTTTATTATCAAAACACCAATTACATGTAATTCTGACATGTATTATTTTGTTCTGACTATTTATATTTTACTCTTATTGTAAATTTATATATAAAGTTTTTATTTTGTTAAATTTCACAGGATTTATTATAAATTGATTTAATATCCAAATGAAAGCTTAAGGATTTATTAAACACGTGTGAACTCCAACATGATAATTTTGACAAATATTTACTGAAAAGGCAACTATTTTTCTATGGTTTCTCATTAAATGAAAATACTATATGTATAGTCCGTAACCCAAGGTCTCAGAATAGTCAATTAGAAAATATCTGACACAGTTTTTCTCTGAGTATTACCAAATAAGTTTGAAATTTTCATCCCCATATACAGTATCTTTAGAAAAATTGAAAGTACTTTCATGTATTTTTATTTCAACTGTCCAAATATTAAGAGTAGAAAAACTCTCAAAGATTAACAAATTTACCCATGTCCTTTATATACTGTAACATTTAAATGGAAATGAATTATGTGATATTTTTTGCTCAGACAATATTTTGTGAAGAGTTTGTATTTGAATTATACTTTTTTTGTTAAGTTGAATATGATAAAGATAAATGTTATGCCTGAATATGTATAGTCCGTAGCCCACTTGGGTCTCTGCTATAGTAAGAGTGAAAACTTTTAAACCGCTTGACAGAAATGGACAGAAATTTCAGACAACCTGCCAAAAGATGTAGTGTTACATAGAACATACATGTAATACAATTCATTTGACTTCATTTTTTTGTTAATCTGCAACCAACATGGGCACCTGATCTTGGCCAAGCCAATTTAACATGTCTATTCCTTGTGACAAGTCCTTCCTTTGGATACCAACAATCGTAATCCATTGACCTTGACCTTGGAGTTTGACCTACTTTTGAAAAAACTTTAACCTTAGTCATAACTTTTGAACGATTGGTGCTTCGGCTTTCATATTTC